TACTTAAAAATTCAGTTTTATAGTCTTTTTATTTTATGATCATTTTGGTAGATAAGGATCTAAATAACGGAAGCTTTCTTATTTCGTAGTTCTACTAGTCTGAACTCCAGGTGCTTTTAGGCACACTGTACCATATGTAGTAGATTGTGTTTCTCCTAGTTTTTTGTTCTCTTTGCATATGTGTTTTGTTTGATATTTTGTAAGTATCGTATAGCTCAGGTTTCACATTACCCTAAGCATGTATTTACGCCTTTAGTCCCTTTTTTTCACAAACCTCATATTATATTATATTCTACCTCATATTATATTTATATTCTAAATGTTAGGCTGTGTTTACCATAAAAAAAGAAATAGTCATGGATAACACCTCAAACTCACAATGTTCAAAATGAAACTCTTGTTTTGTTTTTTGGTACCGGGATCGAACTCGGGTCCTTGCCCTTGAGTAGCAGGCGGTGAAATCACTGAGCTAAATCCCTGGCCCATAAACCCTGATTACTTTTTTTTTTTGGTACCGGGGATGGAACAAAATGAAACTCTTAATTCTCTCCTCATGGAACCTTTGCCATCTCAGGAACTGTTCACTTAGAATTGATGTTTAGGAAAACAACACTGGCTATGACATCTTTTCCTCTTTTCTCTTACACTTGATATCAGAACCTCAGTAACTCATTTTGGCTTACTTCCAAATGAATCTCAAGTCAGACCCTTTCATTACCCATGCTACTGGTTAAAGCTGCTGTCATTACCCCCAGACTATTGCAATGGCTTTCTAACTCCTAGCCAAATGCTTTCATTCTGCATCCCTCTGAGAGTCCATTTCTTTCTCCTTCAGAGGCCAGTGAGCTCTTAAATGTTTTAGCCCATCGTGATTGTTCAGAATCCTCCAGTGGCTTCCTTACTTACTGAGGATAAAACCCAAGGTGCTTAGCATGGTGCACAGGACCCTGTATGAGGTGGCCTCCAGTTCCCCTCCTGTCTCTTCTCCCCTTTCTTTCTCATCCACCCTACTCTGCCTCCAGGCATTCTTGAGGTTACTTGAACATGTGAAGGACCCCCTGCTGCAGTGAATACTTCCTCTGTCCAGTGCCTGGTCTGCTTTCCCCTTACAGAATTCTCTGCCTCTTCCCTGGGTCTTGGTTAGGATGTTGCCTCTTCAGGGAGCTCTTCCATCACTCTCTCATTCAAGACAGCATCCGGACTGCTGCTTATGCCTGCACCCCGTTTTATTTCCTACCACAGGGCTTATCTCCATTTGACATCCTGCGTCTTTGCTGGTTTGTGTTTATTGGCTCTCTCCCTTAGTGAAATGTAGCCTCTTGAGGGCAAGACTTGGTCTTTGTCCCGGCTGGGTTGCTTGTGCCTAGGACAGTACCTGGCATACAGTAGTTTCTCAGTGAAGCAGATCAAATGAATGGATGAATGAGTGCTCTTCCTGGGAACTAGGTGCTGGCTACTGACCCGTGGCATCTCGGGGTATGTCCTTTTCCAGTGGGCACTGGCTAAAGTCAAGGGCTCTCCCATAGTGCACTGCGCTCCCCACCATTCTGAAAGGGGCTGGGTCAGATGCGCCAGCGCTGGACGGCTCCAGGCTTTGGATTGTCTCGGTGGCCACCAGAGGGCGCACGAAGCTTAGATTATGGACAGGGGACTCTGTCCTACAGGAGCCCTGTATGAAGCTGGTGTGAACCTGAGTGGGGAATGGGGAGCTGTGGCTAGGCGCCCTGACTCTGGAGTTCAGAGTGTGGGGGTCTCTGTTCCTGCTGCTCACCTCCCATGCTCCTGATCCAGAGACAGATCCGGGGACAATTTTCCCTGTGTCTTCTTGGGGAAGGGTAGTAGTGGGTCCATGAGGATGGAAATAGTGGGGTGCTCAGTGGCTACTCATGTGTCCTAGACCCCAAAACCTCATAATGGCTTTTACCAACACAAGTAAACATTCTACCATCGCTGAGCAGGGGGCATCTGTTATCCTTGGAGTCCCTCCAAGGAGCCATAAGTCTGGCACACCTCTCCTAGCCACGCAGCCAGCCTAGGCTGAGGCTCACCTCAGGCCAGGGAAGAACCTTCACCTGGATGGAAGTTACCCCTCACATTCCCAGCCCTTGCAGGGCAATCTTGGGCAGGAGTGAGGTGGTGCTTTCTGAGTGGGGAGACTCACACATAAGCAAGCTCACTGTACTTTCTCTGTAAGTTGTTTTTGCTACTGACCCATATACAAATAGGGAAACTGAGGCCCAGAGATTGGGAGGGACAGTTTTAGGTCCTACACTAGCATGGGTGTGTCTGGTCACACTGGTGGGGTGTGCTCAGGTCCCCTGGAGCCTGTCCCTTCCCAGGGAGTGCCCTTCTCCAGCTCAGATGCAGCCCAGAGCATTTCACCAGCTGTCTCCTTGACTAGGAGCACAACCACCCTCCCATCTGGCTGGAACCTTCTTGTCTCTCAGGCAGCTGGCCAGATATCACCTCCTCAAAGAGGCCTTCCCTGGCCACACCCTCTCTCACTAGCTTGTTTTATTTCCTCTAAGGGACTTGTCACCATCTGACAGTAGCCAGCTTCCTGGTGTCTGGTGTGAACTCTGTGTCTCCCATGCCATCTTGTGCCTGGAAGGACCACATCTTGCACATGGCACACAGGAGGAGCCCATGAGCATTAGTGAATGAGTGAGGGCAATGGAGAGTTGCCTGCCACCCATGCAGGTCCCCAGGCATGGTCCCAGTGGCACAGTCACACCAACTTCCTCCTGATAGCATTATTGGTTCTCTCTAGTGCATTGATTGTTAAAAAACAAACAAAAATCAGATAACAATTGCAAAAAAGCAAGCAAGCAACAAAGCACAAAAGGACCCTGGGCCTCCAGCTCTGGGCCAGGATGCTCTGTGTTCTGGAGCTGGCAGGCTGTGCTGGGGGGTTCGGTTGGGGCTGCCGCCTGGACCACATTGCCCTCCGACAGCCCTTGACTGGGGCAGCCAGGTGGGAGGGGAGGCCACCATCCTCCTGGAGCATGAGGGATGGGTGCACTTGTTTTAATTCTCATCCATGCAGCTTGGTCACCAAGACCATGGCGCTGCACTCTAAACTCAATTAGAAATTTAACAAACCTTATAAATCCTCCCCAGCCTGAGCCTTGTAAATCTCCGGAGCGGGGCTGGCTTAACACTTATCCATCTCCAGCTTAATGACCTCCCCAGCCCAGCCTGGGAATGATTCCGGGCTGGTGACAGGTCTAATTAGTGAGCCCGAACTGCAGCTCCAAGCCCTGGGAGGAGAAAGAGCAGGCTTGGTCCCTGCTCCAGTGTCATGAGGGAGGTAAGGGCTGGCCTTTGTTCAGCCCGGGCCTTGGGATTCTTCAATGCATGGGACGAGGGGAAAAGGGGCTGGCAAGTGTCTGATTCTTCAGTTGTTCACCCAGCCCTGTTGGTGGTGTGTGCCACCTGTGCCATTGTTTAGGGAAGGCTGTTGTGTGGACCTCAAGTAGTCTCCCAGGAAGACAGTGCATTTGTGAGCAGATGTGAGGCCATGTTGATAGCATGCATGACAGAGAGTCTTGGGATCAGTGCTGATCACCCTAGACAATCATGTTCTAAAGCATTGTTTGTGAAATCAGAGTCCAGATAGCTGTTTTTTGTTTTTTTTTGAGACAGGGTCTTGCTGTGTTGTCCAGGCTGGGTTTGAACCTATGAGCTCCAGTGATGCTCCTGCCTCAGCCTCCTGAATAGCAGGTATATACCACTGCACTTAACAAAATAGCCCCATTTTTAAGGGTTCAGTTTTAAGATTTAGTGACAGGAGGATTTTCCAACCTTGTGAGGAGGTGCACTCTCTGTCAATGGGACTGTGATCTAGGATTTTCTCCCATTAATGGAGGACCTTTCGTGTGCTTCACTAGACATGGACTCTGCCCTCACTTTGCCCTTGGACTTCCCAGGTCACAGAGCCACGAGAACTAAATGCTGCTTAGAAGCCACCCATTTTATGGCATTTTGTTACAGCAGCCCAAATGGACTAAGACACTGGAGATGGTGTGGTTGGAAGCCCTCTTCCCCTTTTGCCCATGACTACTGTTCCCCCCGGACACAGGAGGCAGTGGAACCATGGCTGGGGTGACAGACTTCAGCTCTGCCCCTGCCGGCTGCTCTGACTCCTCCTGCCCTGACCCTGGAGTTGTCATCAGGAGGAGATCTGGGTAATTGGTTTCATCCAAGCCTCATCTTCAGTGGTGTGAAAGGGAAAGTTATAAATATTTTTATCTGTAACTCCCGATGAATAAAAATTTAATTACACTGAAAAATTTAAATTTCATAAGAAATAAATATTAATCCTGGAGAGTGACTTTTGTGGGAAGTTAACTTTCAAATGTCGTCCATTTGGAGGTACCTGGAGTCAGAGAGGGAGGAGCCTGTGTTGTGGCTCTTGGTCTGGGGTGAGGATCCCCACTCCCAAAGACTTGGGCCCCCACAGGAGCAGCCCAGCCCCTCCCTTGGGGTAGGGGTCGCAGGTGACATTCTGCACACCCTCCCACTTCTGCCTCAGCCCTCTCTGCTTCGCCCTGTCTTCAATGATAATCAATCACTTAGGAGGTGCGGATGTTTTCCTAGGTTCTGGGAAATACTTCAGGGAAGCTGTCAGACGTCACCCTTGTCTGTGTGCAGGATAAGGTCATGCGAAGGAGGAAGATGCAAGAGGAGGAGCCACCAAGACCACTGCCCCATGGATTCCTCTCCACTGGCCACCTGGCCCCTCCTCCACTTGCTCATTTTGTTATTATTTTATTATTTAAAAATTCAAGTATAACTAATGCAGAGAAAAGTTCAGGAAACAGAAGCATGTGCTGTCAACGTGGAAGAACCTAAGTTCCCCAGGGGAAGGGACATGGCAGGCTGGAAGGAGGTGGGGGCTTTCCAGAGACCCTTTGAGGATTGCTTGATGGATGCCTCTGGCTGCCTGACCAGGGAGAGAATGATTTGGGGTAGGGTGGCCTAATATTAGTAACAACATCTTAACACATCCTGAACATTTATTATGTGCTGGGCTCCATTCTTGTGTTAGGCGTATTAGCTCATTTAACCTTGCAAAACCCTCCAAAGTAGGCGCTGTTATCACCTTCGTTTCATCAATGAAAACAGATACACAGAGAGGTTATGTAACATGCCCCAAGTCATCCAGCTTGTGGGAGGCAGAGCTGGATCACCCCAGAGTCCTCTGGCTTGAGAGACTTCAGGTTCCTCTGAGATGGGAGAGCACAGGTCTTTGTCCCAGGAGGCCTGAGATCTGGTGCCCTTTGGGATCTTGGCAAAGCTTTTGATAGTTCCCTGCTGTGTCACCTTGGACAAGCTCTCAACTTCTCTGAGCTTCAGTTTCTGCTTTTGAGAAATGGGGATAAAATCTCCACTCTGGACTTTTGGGGGTTGTGTATGGGGCTGGAACTGGCGGCGGAGATGGACAGTGTAACCCTCTCCTCAGGGATGAAGCTGATCCTGTGAGCCCCTGTGCTGATGCTGGACACTGTGCGGATCATGTGCACTTTCACTTCAAGAACCATGCTTGTTATTCCCATAGGCAAAGACCAGAGGTGGGGCCCGGCCTGGAGCGGGTGCTGAGGAGGCTGGTGTGGTGAGAGAAGCTTCCCTGGAGAGTGGCATGGGTAGTGGGCTGGGGCAGGAGGGCAGAGGTCTGGAAGGTGCCGTGTGTCTGTTGTGTTGGGGCTGGGGAGCTGCTCTGTGCTGGCTCAGGGTGAGGCCAGGCTGGGTTCTGAGCCACCCACCTCAGCTGCCCCGTCTCCATGCCACAGATGTGTGGGCTGAGGTCCTCCGGGCTGGGGCTGCAGAGCCTGGGCGTGCAGATGGGCTGCATCTGGATAGAAGAGGGATGAGAACTGGACTTGGCCTGCCAAATAGAGACCTTGTTCTTGAGCCTGAGACTAAAGCTGAAAGGGGTACCCGGGCCTAAGCGTTTGTGTGGGGAGGGTGAGGGGGTGCCAGGAGGGTCTTGTCCTGCAGTGGCCAGGCTAGGACCACTGTGGCCCATGTATGTCAAGGGGAGTCCGGAGGAGGCCGGGCCCAAGGGTCTGATGGGGGTGGTTGCCATAGACCTGCACTTCTCCAGGGGCCAAAAGGACCACGTCTCTCTTGGTATTGGGAAATGCCCTGGTTTTTCGTTGTTGCTTTATTGTTTTTGAGACAGGGTCTCTCTATGTAGCCCAGGCTGGCCTTAAACTTGCAGTGATCCTCCCACTTCAGCCTCCCAAGTGCTGAGATTACAGGTATGCAAGCCCAGCAAATACCCTAGATTCCTATCCAGTTGCTCCAGGGCCCTGAGTCTGGGGAGCAGGTGAGAAATCTGTCTTTTGCAGCAAAAACACAGGGAAGTTATCCCCTCTCTAGACTGGCCCCAGACCTGCATACACACACACACACACCCAGGCATGGCTATACACACAGACACACATACGGGGGCCACAGCTGTGCTCCCACAGACACACGTGTGCATGCAACCCTCCCCCATAGGCACCCACACTGCCATGGAGACTGGATGCTTGAGCGTCCCCGGAATCCACCCACCTGGCTGCATTCTGCTGATGGAATGCTGTAATATTTTTCTATTAAATGTTGCATTTGTTGTGCCTTTTAGTAGCTCCCCTCATTAAAAATAATATTATCTCCATAAATAAGCCAGTGCCCGAGAAGAGAACCCGACTCCATTTCTCTTCCTAATTGAGACACTTAGCTTTGATTTGCACATCGGCACGTAGTGAGCGGATTAATTTTCAATTAATGCTCCTGAGCGGGCGGCTGCAGGCAGCATGGGCTTGCAGCCCAGTGGCCTGGGAACAGCCTTGTGGGAGTAGGGGGTCAGGGTAGGTGAAGACCATAGCATCTGGCAAGGGCCTGTGGCCGATGTGTCCTGGCCTTGTGAAAGAGGCTACTGGGGACTGTGTGGAACTTTATGGTTTTGTTCTTGGTAGGAATGAATTCCTTGGGGCCTTATCTGTGGGAAGCAGCCTACTATCTCACTAGGAGAAGGCCCCTGAACTCTGGCCTTTTGCCAGAAGACATCCCAGGTGCTGCTCACCTGGGACTGTTACAGGCCCTGCTTCATGGGGCTGGCAGCTTGGCGTAAACCTGGTTTTGGTGGCCTGAAGTCCTCTGCAGACCAGACCAGGCAGGACCTCTCTGGCAAGCCAGCTCCTGAACCTCTCCTTTCTCCCCTTCGCTGTCACCACAATGGCTAAGGAATTGGGCAGATGAGCAGGAAGAAAGGAGGAGCACCTCAGCCTCTATTTTTCCTCTTGTGGCACCAGTGAGCCCATTCCCTCGAGCCCAAGGCTAGAGCAAGTCCTCCCAGCTCCTGGCTCCTGAGGGTGGGACTCCTCCTCTTCCTTCTGGCTCCTAGATCTTTATCAATCCAGTTAAAAATTCCTCTCTTCATGGCAAACCAGCTTAAAGCTCTCCCACTAAAGAAGGAGAAATTTCCAGAACTCCTATTTCTTTCTTCTGGATATAGCAATGCCTACTTTCCAAACTGTAGCTTCTGGTATACTGAGGCTGAGGTCTTTTTTTTTTTTGGTACTGGGGATCGAACTCAGGCCCTTGCACTTGCGAGGTAGATGGCAGCACCAGTGAGCTAAATCCCTGGCCTAGGCTGAGGTCTTTTTTGAAGCCTGGGTCTCCTTCTCAGCCCCACCTGCCATGGCATTATTGGGGATGCCCTGCCCAACCCCAGAGCCCCACTCTTGGGGTGTCTCATACAGCTCCAGGCTGCTAACACTGGGAATGTAGTATAGAATTGGGGTAAGTGACAGCATCAGGGCTGGGCCACCAGGGTTTACATCCTGGTCCTTCTGCTTAACTCTGTATCTTGGTCAGGTTATTCCATCTCTCTAAGCCTTAGTTTCTTCTGCCAAACACAGATGATGGCAATAGTACCTGTTTCATGGCATGCTGTGCCAACTAAATGAGATATAGCATTAGCACCTTGATACTCAAGGTGTGGTCTTTGGACTGGCAGCATACATGTCACCTGGTCATTTATTAAACGTGCAGAAGCTTGGTCCCCACCCCAGACCTGCTGGATTCAAATCTGTATTTCCACAATTCCCTCTGCACAGCCATGTCTGGGAAGCTTGGACAAGGAGACTCTTGGGATAGGGTAAGCACTTACCTTGGGACAGGCAAGTGGCAGCTGTCATGATATGGGGGCTTTAAGGATCCTTCACATGAGGCAGACACTGGTACCAAAGAGGAGACTGGGCTTTGCAGATTAGGCTTGTGTGTCCACTTCTGCTGTCTTCCTGCCTCCTTCCTGCCCTCTGGAGAAATGAAGGCAGTGGTGCCATCTCTAGGAGCTGATTTGAGATTAGTCAGAAGGTGCTTTCAAGCATCATGGAAAGGAATTCCGAGACACTGAAGCACCAAGAGCATTTTTGTACATGTTTTCTTTGCACTTCCTGCTATTCCCATTTTTGTAGATGAGCTACGGAGGTACTTTGAAACCAGGGATTGGTACAAGCTTGTGTTGCCAACTAGCTACAGAACTGGGTCTGGTTGTCAGACCCAGAGTCCATGATCAGTTAGGGACCCTTAGAGATCTCCTGGGTGCTAGATCAGGCTACAACCAAGGTCCATGGACCTGAGTACCCATCTCTCCTGAATGAAACCTGCCAGGGGCACTTGCTGCATTGTGTGGTTGGCTGATGCTTCTTGTGTATGTGTGTTGGGGACAGTGGTGGCTGCAGAGCAGGGAGGGGGTGAGGAAGGAGAGACAGGGCTGCTCTGGGATCAGCTGACGGTTAATTAAAATGTTCTCAGAGGTGATCAATCCACAGTCAATGGCTTGAATCTGCAATGACTCAGCTCTTCCCTGGCTGAACAGGAGGCCTTCCTGGGGTGGCAGGCAGGAGGCCCAGCTGTCTTCCTCCTGGTCTTTGGAGGCCTGGCACTGGGCAGTGCTGTTGATGCTGCCTCCAAAATATTCCCATCTTGTTTCCATAATAGCTTCTGTCACTGCTTTTTGACAGGGCAGCCATTAAGTCTTTGACAAAATTGTAAGAATTATTAACATATGAGGTTTTATATTATTTGACAGCTGTCGGCTCCTTTAGAATTCACATCACCCTGTCCCCTGCCTCCTCTCCTCTTCTCTCCTTCCCCTCCCACCCCATAAGGAAGGGAGGAGGGAAAGGGAAAGGGGAGGAGTCAAGCCACCTTGAGCTTCTGTCACGATCACCCTGCACATCGGTGGGACATCTTCTGGGCCCCTCTTGGCTGCTGCCTCAGACTCTTCCCATGCTACTCCCAGTTCTTCTGCTGAGCTTCCAGTCTGGGTGTTTCCCTCCATCATGCATCCTGTCCCCCAGGCCAGAAGTCTAAGGGACACTGGAATCTCCTTTCTTCCCACACTCTCAAGCTCTCCGGTCCCTAAGCATTGTCCATTCTGCTTCCTAAGAGCTTTTGATTCTACCCTGTCCTCCTCAGCTCCATCCCCATCTTCCCTTCCCTGGCCTCATCCTCTCTTACTGGGCCACTATACCCGTTCCCTCACCAGTCAGGGCCCTGCCTGGTTCCCCTGGGTCTGGACCATTAGAATACCTGACCATCCTGCTTCCTATGCCCCCTAGTTTTCTCAGTGGCTGCAGGAAATGCTGGAGAATTGATGTACCTCTCTGCTGCTCGTGGCCTCTCTCAACCAGGTGGTGATGGGAATTAGTGATAAATACCCCAGCTCCTTCCCCAGGGCAGGACAACTCTGAGGCCTGCAGTCTACAGTCTACCCTATGGACCACAGGGGCCCCAGTGGGCTGCAGCTCTGTCCCTCACTGGAGTAACCGGCTTGATAAGGCCCCTCAGGGCTGCCTTCCATTCCCTCTCTGCCTTGATTCCCAATGGCTCCCCTAGGGGTTCTGGATCACCTCTCAGAGAACAATTTGCCCTCAATCCTTGTTTCACAGTCTGCTTTCAGGAGAACCCAAAGGAAGACTCCCTGATCCTTCCTGCAAGCTGCAGCTAGCACAGCCCTTCTTGGATGGTCAAGGACACCTTGGAGCTTCAATTCTTGTCTCATGGTGCCGTTCCAGCAAAGAGAGGTCTTCTTAAAACCTCTGGGCCTGGGTCCAGAAAACATGTCAAAAGCAGTTTCGATAGGCCTCAGATAGTATGCTTTCCCGGTATCTTCATTAGATAAACTTTGGCATTTATACAGCTATAAAGTAATAGATTCAGGGGATTAATGCTAAAGAGAAACACATTCCTAGATATCAAAATATATCACAAAGCTATACTAAGTAAAACTTGGTTAGCACAAAACAATGAGCAAATTAACAGATAAGATGAAAGTGATATAGTGTATTTCAAATGAGTGTAGAAAGGATATATTTGTCATGAAATGGTGTGGGCAATCAGTTATTGTTTGGGAAAAATAAAGATATCTGCTTCAAACAAATACTAGAACACATTCATATAAAAAATATGGAAGCCATAGTCAGGTGTGGTGGTGCATGTCTGTAATTGCAGAGCTCTGGGAGGCTGAGATAGGAGGACACAAGTTAGAGTCTAGCCCGGGAAATTTAGCAACTCTGTAAGACCCTGTCTCAGAAAGGGGGGTGGGGGCTGTGGATGTGGTGCAGTGCAAAGGCCCTGGATTCAATCCCCAGTACTGAAAATAAAAAACAAAAATGAAATCATAAAAGAACTAGGAGAAACAAAGGTGATTGTCACAGGATGGGGTGGGTCTTCCCAAGCATAAAACAGAGGGAAGGCCACAGTCCAAAGGGTGAGAATTGACAAACTCAAAATAAACATAAAGAATCCCAAAGTTACAAAGCAGACCAGTTGACAAATATATTGGCAGGGGAAGGGGTGGAGAGGGAGAAGGAGAGGGAAGGGGGAGGGGGAGGGAAGAGGGAAGGGGAAGGGAGGGGGAAGGGGAAGAGAGGAGAGAGGGAGGGAGGAAGAGAGAGAATATTGGAGAAAGAGAAAGTATATGAATTGAGTAGGATACAATTGAATGAACTCCACTGCAGTTTGCTGATACCTAGTGTCATATACTTAAAGCCAGGACAAATCCTGAAAAGGCAAACATTTAGACACCTGCCGGTGAAAGAGCTCACCCTCACGAAGAGGAAGTTCTGACATCTAACTTGCATTCCTCTCGGTGAAGGAGCCTCTTCTCTCCCGGTTCTCAGGGGAAGGGGTGGGGGTGGGGTGGGGTGGGGGTGGGTGGGTCTTCCTTTTTGCGCATGCGCACCTTGGCAGTGTGGTCCAGCCCAGGCAGGTCTACTAAGGCTCCGGCTCCTTAGCTCCAGCACAGTTGACCCTGATCTGGTGCTCCCCTCCTTCCTGAGCGGTGCTCGGTGCTCAACCTGGGCACACAGGTCGTACCCCGCCTGACCCCAGCCTGGCCCAGCCTGGATCCAGCCCCTGTGACCCACGCCCCAAGGCCCCCCCGAGACCGGTTCGGTTCTGCTCCCGGTGTTGTGCAGGGAGCAGATGGGCTTCCCGCGGACGCGGCAGCCGAGCAGAAGCTAATCCACTTTTATCTCGTTATGGTGACAGCCACCCTGTTAAACGGAATGGACTATCGATTTGGGGCTCACTTCCAGTCCGAGGATTTTCCATCACAGACCTGAGTAGAATAGGAGAAAAGCAACACTTATTAACTCAGGTGCCAGTCAGGGAGAGGCGGGTGCAGACCGTCAGGCCCAGGTGGCACAGCCCCGCCTTGCCTCCCTCAGCCTGGCACGCGGGTTCCTCTGCACCCACTATGCCAGGTGCCACGACACAATGCATGATGCAGACAGATTACACAGGATGCTGACCCTGATGCAGATGCCTGTCACTCAGACACTACCAACCCACTGTGACATTTGTCTACACAACCACACCACACTGATGCACACATACCCCCACCCCCATACACATCTGGAGCTGACACACATGCTCATTTGATGTGGACACACACAATACCAATATTTGCATACACCTGGTGCCAACATATGTGTACCATAGCTGACACACATTTACACATACACCCAACACTGAAAGACACGAACACATGGTTCGGGGCACTCACACCTGCATTTAACACTGACACACACACGTGCACGGCGCTGACTCATGAAAACACTCATCCCTGACACAGGTTTATACCCACAGCAGCTCCACAAGTACTCACACAGCTGATGCATGTGTGCACACGGTACTGGCAGAGCCTTAGAGTACGGACACGGATTGCACTAACTTTCTGACACACTGCTGGACACATATCCACCACTGATACACACATGAACCCACAATGACACACGTCTACACAAATACTCAACAACAGTGACACTTGCATACAGCCCACACTGATGGAATAGACACACAATGCACACACACATGCACACAACACATAGACAGCCAGCATGGATTCACCTATACTCATATACCAGCGCTACCACATCTGCACATCCCATGCTGACACACATGCACAAACTGGCGTGCACATGTCTACAATGCTGACAAACACACATACAAACGATGCACAAACACACAGTGCTGACACAGAGACACACATGGATATACAATACAGACTTTTTCTTGTGCTGAGTGCCCAAATCTCGTGACACAACTCAGCTGTGAACACACACTTGCTGGTCCACATCCTATACACATCTGTGCCAGGCTGGTGGCTTAACACTGGTAGACATAAGCATGTTAGAGATACTGGCATTTATTTGTTGATATTACTGACACACAAGTTGATGATGCACACATATAACACACTTATGCATAGTACTGACGCATGCACACAGAAACCTGTGCCACATACACAGCTCACGTGGCAAAGGCCGGTGAGACTGGGCAATGAACATTTCCAGGGATCTGATTTCCTCAGCTGGGAAGGTGAGAAGGGGAGTCAGGATCGGAGATGGTGAGTTGGGCCCAGAGGTGCATGGGAGGCTGCAGCTTAGGGGTGGAAAGCCCGGAACCGATCTGACAAGTGAGGGGGAATCCTCAGCCCGCATTTCTGTCTGACCGTGGCCAGGCCACTTAACCTCTGTAATCCTCAGTTTCCCATCTGAAAAATAGACAGCATCACCCGAGACCCAGGATTATTGAGAGGATCAAATGAAATGACATGTGTAAAGTGCCTGGCACAGTGGTTGGGATATAGAAACTCTCCTGTCCCTTCAGCTGCTGAGCTCTTGGGACCTTTGCCAAGGGCAACCCTCTATCCTTGGAGCTGGGTCAGAAATCTGGAGACGGCCTCAGCCGTTTCTCTGGAAAGGAGTTTCCAATCTCGGGAGTGGCCCAGGGGCCAAGGTCGGGTCAGGTGGAATTGCTGTGGACTGGACTGTGTCTCCCAAGAGTTCCCATGTGAAGCCCTAACCCCAGCCTGATGAAGTTGGAGAGTTAGATGAGGTCAGGAGGGTGGGGACCCCAATGGGGTTTATGCCCTTACAGAAGAGATACTAGACAGCTTTCTCTCCCCAGCTGCACAAAGAGGTCATATGAATGCACAGTGAGCCGGAGACCGAGCACACCAGCTCCCACTGCACTGGTTCCTGACGTAGCCTCCACAGTGGTGAGAAAATAATGCTGGTGGTTTCAGCCACCCAGTCGATTTCCTCTTGTCCAGACAGCGGAGCTGACAGCCACAGGAATAGAGGGCTGTTGTATCTGACGCCTGGCTCTCTCACCCACCACCTCCTCTGGAGCTTGGGACACTCTTTGTGTCTGTTTTCCTACTGGGAAAATGGGGGTCTGGGTTGGTTGCTCTCCTCGGACCTGCTCCTAGGTCCTGACACTGAGTCAGGGTCATTTGCAGCCCTTGGGTGAGTCTCTGGGGTGGGAGATGGTGACAGGCGAGACCCAGTGCACCAAGTGCCTGCCCTCACACCACACCTCCAGCCTCTGAGTTGTGGTGGGGAGGGGACACGCTTCCCGCAGTGACCTGTCCTGTCTGTGGCCTGCGGGCATGAAGGCCAGACTCTGCCCAGGCCTTCTGAAGGCATTTTCAGGATGTAGGAGGACATGGGCCCGAACATGAGAGACCTCAGCCCCGCTGTCTCCTCTGCATGCCGGGTGTACCCACCTCGGCACGGCTGCGCCCACCTCAGCCAGCCCACCCAGCCTGAACCAGCCGTCTCCGCAGCTATCTCTCCACAGCCCACGTGTCCCCTGCTCGGCCAGCTGTCCCCTCCTCAGACATAGTTGTCCTTACTTTAGCCCAGCTCTTCCCTCCTTTTCCTAGTTGTCCCTACCTCAGTCCAGCCGTCCCCTCCTCAGCCCAGCTATCCCTGACTTCAGCCATCGTTCTCCCCTAGTGAGTGTAGCTACTACTCTCCAACACTAGTCAGGATGACCTTGTCTCAGCTCAGCTATGTGCCAGCTTGAGCTTAGTTGTTCTCTCACAGCTGCCTACCTGTCTCCCGCCAGTCCGATGTGTCCCCTGTCAGCCAGCTGTTCTCCTATGTTTGATGGTGGCTGTCACATCAGTCCAGGTCCCCCACTCACCCCGCTGGCTCAGCCACTCTCCCTCACCCCAGCCCTCCTATTGTCCCCAGGTCCTCCCTGCTCTCCCTCCACATCTGTTCAGCTTTCCTCCCAGCCACAGCAACCCAGCTGTCTCCCATCAGCTGGCGCTTCTTCCTTCATAGGTTCAGTGCCTCTGGTGTTGGGGGACCTTCCCAGAGAGTCCAGGGGGTGTGCTGGGCCACCCAGGGCAGCCTCTGTGGTATTGCTAGAGGGGCCCCCCGGTTCTGCTGCAACTCCCTCCACATGGGGCAGGGCCAGGGCTTGTGTGCCTGATCCTAGAGTCATCCCCTACCTACTGTTCCCTGAGAGGAAGCATCCAGGACTGGAAGAAGAGAGGGAGAATTCAGGCACTCACCCCTCTGGACACAGGAATGCCCCCAGCATGACCCCAAGCCCTCCCAGGCCTGGGGAAGACCTGGACTCACCCCATCCCCAGGAGGCAGAAGACACCCAGCGTCCCTCAGTCATGACTCTGGACAGGAGAGACTCATCGACCTCTCTCCCGCCGAGATGGGAGCAACCACTGGAATCATCTGCCCCCTAATCTGAGCATCCGGAAGAGACAAGACAGATCATGATTAAATATGCAAATTCAAGCAGATGGCAGAGTTGGTGATGGACGGGCTGTCAGGAGAGCATGTCACCGTGTGACGTTTGCAAGCCTGTGCGATTAGTGTGGGAGCTGCATGGGGAGTGGGAGGGGCCTGGGTGCTGGCGCTGCCTCTGGCCAGTGGGCTGGACTGCTGGGATGGGGAGCATGGGGGCCAGAGGGGAAGGACCAGGGGAGCAGTCTTGCATAGCAGGCTGGCTGGGCCCTCCTGTGTCCAACTCACCAGGCCTCTGCAGGCCTCTCCACGTCAGGATGCTAATTCCACCAGCTCAGGGCTGGGACAGGAGGGATTCATTAGTATAATCTGCACCATATCTGTGCTCTTGCCATGGGCCAAACAATAAAAGACACAATATTTACACAACTTACCAGGGGAAGCAATATTGGGCCATTGATTTTGTGTCCCTTGGATTTTCACGGTCTAAACCTTAATGGTTTTTAATCATAAAATATTAGCACCACAGGGCACAGCACTGGGACCTTGCTGCAGAGGGATGAGCTCCCCCTCCCCAGATCCAAGTGAGGGCCCCATGGAGGAGGGGCCACACCCTCTCCACCCCACTCACCCAGGCAGCAGAGCCTTGCAGCTGCTGTTTGGGCACAGTTGTGGGAGTCCCTGGAGGACCGGGCATCCTGGCTATTAGGTCCTGAGTTCTAGAGTCAGGGCAGGAGTGAGGGAATCCACCCATTTTTGAGAAAATGGAGATTTGCCTTCATAAAGGGTTTTAGAAGCAAAAGCTTTCACCATTGTTTCCCTCCACCAGATATATCCTGGACCTCAGCTGGAGGACTCCTACCCAGCCATCACCTGTCCTGTGTGGGGTGCTCCACAAGGATTGGACCAGCTCATTTTCACTTCTGTACCTTCAGCGCCTTGCACAGGGCCTGGAGCTCCACTGGCACTCAGGGTCAGTTGAATGAATGAAGGAATGGATTGCTGAACCCCAGAAGCAAGTTGCCAAGCAGAGTTTTTCATTCATTCACAACTATTGATTGATCACCTACTCTTTCCCTCGTGTCTGAGGCTGATCAGCCCCAGGCCCTGCCCACATCGTGGTGAGGGTGGCACTGGGACTGGGAAGGAGCATGGTGGGGGGAAGTTGGGATAGAGAGACTGTACAGGAGGGCCCTGAGCCTCCTGAATGCAGGGAACCGCTCTGAAGAATCAAGCACTTAAGATGCCAAAAGCTGAAGGCATCATATTGCAGCCCCTCCTGGTCCCCTTCCGAGAGGACTTCCTAGAGAAGGAGGTCTGTGTGTTTGTGTGAGCAGGAAGCCCTGCAGGCTGCCTGGGAGAGGCTGGCTTCTCCCGTGCAGAGGCAGAGGCAGGTGGAGACTGATTACTGCTACTATTGTTTATTTTTCCTGAAAATGACCACCGTGCCCGCTCCACTCTGCCACCCCATTCCAGTGCCTGTGGGGAAGTCAATAGCGATGGATTAAACAGCAAGGGGAAGGCTGAGAGCACAATTGGGTGAGAGATAAAGATAATTAAAACTAATTCCAACTGTTCCTAGAGAAATCAATTTCATAACTTCAGCATGTCCCTAAACCTGCTTCCAAGGCTCTGCAGTGCTGAGCAAAGGGCATGCGCGTGTGGCACACAGACACAGGTGTGTGAGTGTGTGTGTACGCACAGGAGCTTGTTGTGTGTGCATGTGTCTTCAGGCTCATGTATGTCTGTTTTATGTAACCCTGGCTTGTGTATATTGAGGCATACGTGAGGGTGTTGGGCACCAATTCCTCCAAGTCTCCATGTGGTACTAACTTACGACTTTACCTTTGACCCTGGGGGAAGAGGTGTAGAAGGGGAAAGAGAGTTGGGGTGGTTGGGTCCCCTCCACAGACACCAAGGTCCTTTGTCCCCTATGACAAGGCCACCCAAGTGGTTCAATACTCCTTGAGAGGCATGGGGAAACTGAGGCCCAGAGCATGGAGGTTGCCACGGGGCACACAGCAAGTGAGCGGCAGGACTGGGACTTGGATGTTGGTCCCCTGCGCTTCCTTAGGGCTTCACTATCTGGATGAGGGCAGCCAGGGTGCAGGGGAGGAAGACTGACCTTATGCCTGGGAGCTCCTGTGTGAACAGCTCTTTAACTTGCCCACTCATTCATTCTTCAGACCCAGGCTGAGCACCTATTGCCAGCTTGGCTGGGACTGGGCTGCATCTGGGAGGAGTGTTTCCTCAGGAGGAGAGGGCTGCTTGGCTATGGGGGCTGGTGGGCCTCTCCTTGTTCCTTACCAGGTTGCCTCTGAATCACAGCCCAGGACAGAGCCTCCCTAAGAAGCACGATGAGCCAGAGGGTTAGCCCCAGCTGTGGATGGCTCTGTTGGCACTGGTGTCATAGCTGGCAACTTCTCACAAGGACTTCATGGTTCATCTCTTGGAGGACTTCCTGGTGAGGTCACTGGAGGGAATGTGCCAGGCTAGGAGCCCAGCCCACATTCCCACCCTTTGTGAGCATGCTCAGTGCGGGGTCTGATGTGTCTGTGGGCTGCCTGTGAGCTGGGGCACAGATCCTGGTGCACAGCAGGTTTTCCTCTAACATAGGACTAGCATTGAACTCCCTGCAAGAAAGAAGCTAGGAAAACTGCCCAAGTGGAAGTTAATCACTCTGAATGGATGGTTCCCTCTACCTGCCCAAGCCTGTGTCCTTGTCTTCATAATGGGGAAATACTATCCATACCTGCTGTGAGGGTGACATGAAGTGCTGTAGAAGAAGTGCCCAGTTGGGGCAGGGATTTAGCTCAGTGGTTTTGCTGCCTGCTACGCAAGCACAAAGACCCGAGTTTGATCCCTGGTACCAAAAAAAAAAAAAAAAAAAAAAAGAAGTGCCCAGTACATCGAATTCCCTTCTTGTAAGGCCCTGAGTTCCCTGAAGAGGTTGCTGAGGTAGCAAGAGCCACAGTTTGTGGCCAGGCAGCTGCCTGGAAGTAGGGGTGTGGATGAACAGATGTCTGATAGTGCCTCCAGGGCATCTCCATCCTTGGCCCATCCTTTCACTGTGGGCCTGGGAGTGGGGACCCCTGGGGCTCCCGGGCCATGCATCAGTTCCTTTAGTGCCCAAAAGATGGCAGCATTGGCGAGCAGGAGCCAAGTGGGAACTGATAGAAGGGGGCTGGGCTGGACCAGCTGACTACAACCACCAGTCCAGGTCCTCAAGTCCCACTCTATTCCTTGTCCGAGAGCGGAAAGGGTGGGGGTGAAGAAGAGGGCATCTTGGGAATTCCTGGGTTGGGAGGGAGGCTTGTCCCTTCTTTTCCTGAGACAGACCCTCTGGGAGCTAAAGGTTTCCAGCTCTTGGGTCCAGAGGTCTGGGGAGGAGAGAGTGGCTGCAACCCCATCCCACAGACCCTCACACCTTTGGGAGTGGGAACTCTGGGGGTGTGGGTGAGAGGGGTCCCTGGCAGCAGGGCAGGAGGCCCCCAGGTGGACCCCCAGTATGAGTTGGGGCTGTTGGACTCACTCTGCTCTCTGCTGTACCTTGCCTGGCAGCACCACTCCTCTCTTCTTTCCCTAGGAAGCCCGAGAGGAGCAGATGTCAGAGGCTCATTAGGGTTGCAGATGGGGAGCTGGGGCGGGGAAGGGAGGGAGGGAGCTCTAGGCCAGGCCTGGTGGAGCAGGCAGGGCCCAGCAGGGGTACAATGGCCCTATATAGTGAGGGACACTATAGTTCCTCCTTGAGGTTCCTCCATAATCCCAGGGAGTGGCTCGGAGAAACCCTGGGCTCTCCTGACCACTGCATCTGGAGTTATCAGGGGTGAGGTGGGGGTGTCAGGATCCTGCAGGATTCCTTTGTCCTTTTCCAGGCCGGGTGCTAGCTGGGTGACAGCACCCCTCCTCACCTCTGTCATCCTGCACTTCCAGGGCTGGGAGGCTAGAAAAGTTTGGTGCAGATTTCGGGGAGGAGAGGTTAGGACCATCCTCCATCTGTAAGTGCTCTGGGAGGCAGCAGAGGGTGAGTCCCGACTGGGGCTCTGAGTCACTTGCCCATGGGATTTGGGGAAGAGGGTGCCCCAGAAGAAGGGTGGTCAAGATGGGCAGCTGAGTCCTGGCTGCCCAGGCAACACACAGCAAAGCAGCTGGGCAATGATAGTGCCCAGGGCTGGGATGCAGGAGACCCGAGGGCTGCTGCTGACTCCTGGTGACCTGCAGCCAGTCACCCTGAGAACAGCCACGGCAGTAAGCAGAGGTTGGTTTGTAATCAGAAATTCACCCTTGGGCTTCCTTTCACCACCTGGTAATAATAATAACAATAATGGCTCCTATCCATTGAAGACTTAGACAGGAGATAGCATTTAAAGTGGATTATCTTATTTAATACTCATGATCCCTTAATGAAGAAAGGAAACTTGAGGAGGTGAGTGATCTGGCCAAGGCCACACACCAAGGAGCAAGAATTCAGATCCAGAGCGCTCTGAAGTCAGGCCCAGCTCCTCCCAACATCCCTTTCCTAATGCCTCCCTTGGAGGCTTGGGAGTAGGTGAATGGAAGAAAATTCAAAAAAATAAAAATCTGAGACACCTTGTTAAATTTGAATATCAAACGACAAATACATTTTAAAATATAAGTATGTTTCATGCAATATTTTGGAACATGCCTATGCTAGAAAATTGTATGTCATTTATCTAGCAACTCTGGTGAGTAGAGTGCATTTTATTGCGGATTTACTACTTCCCAGGCACTGAGCTGAAGGTAAGGTGATGAAGAGAGCAAAGGTGTGTGGGGGTCATGTCCAAGCTTTGTCACAGATGGCTAGTGATGCCTCTTGGGAAGTTTCTTCACCTGCAAAGTGGGGAAGAAGGACCCCTCCTCCTCTCTCCTAAGGGGTGATGCCAGAATCCAATGCCCAGCTGGATGTGGTGGCTTGGAATCATCCAAAAAACTGCCAATTTGAGCTCTGGGTTGGTTAGTAGTAGGTGCCAGCCTGAGCTCAGCCCCAGCTCCATCTCCTGAGCACTTACCCAGCCTCTGGGTGCATCTCCACCCCAGCTCCATAGATGCCCATGAGGAGAAGGCTGGTGTCCATGAGCGGCCATGGCTGGTGTCCATGTTTCACAGGAAGTCAGTGGTCACTACCCTGGTCAGTGATGGGCCTGAGAGACCTGTGTTTACAGCTCAATGCCACCCTTGTCTAGACTGAGGAGTCCCTCTCTTCTCAGACTCTTAGTTTCCTCATCTGTGGTCCAGAAGAAAATAATCCACTTCTCATAGGTCATTGTGAGAATGAAAAGAAATGGCAGAGAATGGACACTCAGGACAGGCCGCCTCTGTCCTGCTACTAGCTTCATCTTGCGGCAGGACCACAGATCATGTCACCAACAGCCTGGGCCCAACTTACTGAAGAAAGGGACCCTGCCACCATCAACGTCACCTTTATCCATCTGCCATAGATGGAGGATTGCTTAGCTAACCCATGGTTCCCAGTGTGCTGGGGGTGATAGGACACTCATGTGTTCCCGTAATAACAGGACAGAGCTATACACTCAACACACACACAATCTCTCCACACCCACTTGGAGAGGAGGTGTCTCTCATTCACCTCCCCTCAACCCTTGCCAGATCAAGACTTCTGTTTCCCTGTAAAACATAGAGCCTGCTGTCCACCGTCACACTAGGATTTTGTCACCTCCCAGGCTGCTCTTTCCTGCCTTAGTCTTGGGGTTCTGCTCCCACAGGCTGAGTTGCAGGCTTATAAAGAGTCAGTTGTATTTGTTTCCAAACTTGTTTGTGCCTGTGGCACTTGTTATTGGAACTGTGTAATTCAATTAAATAAGTAAACCAAAATATTATGAACACACAAAAAGTTTGTTGTTCCTATAAAACAAAATTGAAGTCTTTAGAAAGACTCTATAAAGGTGAATTGCTAAAAAAATTGATGTCAAATTAGGTGTGGATAAGCAACTGTAAGATAAGATTGGGAACAAAATTGTAAAAATCTAGAAGATACGACACTCGTATTACTTTACAAGAGTCTTTTAAATTCTTGGTCCACTTTAGAGAAATTGAAATTGGAAATTGAGGATGATGTGTTGTGGAGTTAGTTTACCCAGAAAAGATGAAACAGCTCCAATCAGTAGATTCATAAGCAGAGGAAAGACTTTGGCCTCACTTTAAAGAACATTAAAAAGACAAACAACTTATATCCTTTAATTTGAAATAAAATGGCCATCTGAAGATGTGTTTTATTTTTTTTATGATTTTTCCCAGAACCAATTTTTTTCTATTAACCCACTACCTAAATGGTGTTAGTTTAACCAGAAGGCTTTTCTGTACTAAAAGACATGTCTGTACATACATACACACACCCACACACCCTCATGAGCATATCCACATCCACACACACATACCCATGCCTGCACACATATATAATCCCCCCCCACATACACAGATACATGCACTCACCCAAACCATATACAGTCCACACACAGACACCTAGGTACACACACTCTCATACCCCCAGGCTCACACATCTGAGCATACACGCACACATACTCAAGCCAAAACCATCCCCCCCCCCCTGCAAGAACAGCCAAGGCAATAAGCAGAGGTTAGTTTTTAATCAGAAATTCACCCTTTGGTGTTTGTCTCCCCTTGGCCTGGTGAGGCGCTGGGAGGACAGTGGAGGGAGAGGAGGGTGCCTGGGGAGGGAGCTGGGGGAGGAGGCAGGCCTCCAGCTAGATTCATCTAGCTGGCCCCCGTCTGGGGAGCCTTGTGGGGCTGCAGGTGAGCTGGGTTCCAGCTGCATTATTGAGTGAGCTGTTCCGCTTTTATCTAAATTGCAGCCAGGGCTGCCTGGGAAGGAAGCGTCTTGGAGCTCCAGTGTGGGGGTGGGGCAGTCTCTCCTGAAAAAAGAAGGGCAGTGGGCCCTCTGGGGACCAGGACCAGCCTACACCTGCTCCATCCAGCCTCCTCTTGCTAGGCCTGGGGAGACCCATCTGAGGTTCTCTGATCTGGACTTCCAAGCCTGGTCTCAGATCTCTGGGCGCTTCCTCCCACTTACTGCTTCTGAATCTGTGAGTCAGGCCAAGGAATCTGCATTTTTAAACATCCCCTGATGACTCTGATGAGCACCCAGGTTTGGGCACCTGTAATGGAGAGTATTCCACTGCCATATAAAATCTTCTCTCTGGGATCCCCAGAGATGTGCTGTCTCCCGGTCCCCTCAAGACCCTGTTTGATCTTGGCTAGGGGTTGGGAGGTTTCAAACACATAGAGTCCTGCTGGACATCTGGGAACTGAAAGGGATCTCACACATGGGATTTCTACTTTATAAAAAGGGACCCAGAGAACTGGGGGGAAATGACTTGCTCAAAGCCATTCACAGAGTCAGTGAAGTAGCTGGGGTTAGAACCT